TATGTTTCTTTCATGTGTGCAGTTTAGCCCACAGATACAGAAGGCTGTACATTGCCATTATGTAACAAGGCAGCTTAACATTGACGAATCAATAAAGAAACACCATACTAGGTGGTCGTGTTCACAATCCAAAGCTGTGAATAAACCATCAATGTCATCACAGAAAACGAGATTGTCAACCTGTCAAAGAAATTTGCTAAATCATCTTGGTGGCTTTGGAAGACAGAAATGTTCATATCTTGCGAGAGGCGGGGCCTGACGTCACTACGACACGACATGCAATCTTGGGGCTCCAGGATTGCTGTCGATATCTCTGTTGCTGGATGATCCTTTTTGAATCTAAACTGTTCTGAAGGAACGGTGCTAGAGATGGGCATGTCCTGCTGATCTCAGGGGTATCGCAAAGCCTCTGATCGATCCAGCTACAAGAGAAGCAGCTAAAATGGCTGCAGAAGGTTGGGACAGACCCCTGAAACGCAAGCAGAATAGGAGAGACAGTGTCTCTCAAAATGGTGAGAAAAATCTTTATTATTAGAGAAAACCCAAAAGACTTAGAGTTAAAATAAAATTGAAGACAGAAGAAAGCAAGCGGCGAATTAACCCTGGTTTAAAGCTATCGTGTTATCTTTTTCACTTTAATTTTGTTTGCTTTCTATGGATTGACTTTTTACAAATGCTTCTTACTTTTAAATTTGACTGGTCTTTTTTTCCCTTCTTCCTCTATACTTTTCCCATTTTTTGTATTGGTGAATTAAAAGTCTCTTTCCTTGCAAGGCTCGGCCGGATCGTAATCTTTAAACAATTTTTTTTCTTCTCTTCCAGAGATCGGAGTTTAGAGAGAGATGCAAAAACAGAGGGAAAAGATGTAACACTGCCATCTAGAGGGTAGAGGCTTGCCAACATCTGATATTACAAAGCTATTGGCTTTGTTTACTGAAAGGGTCAGTGGAAAACGGTTGGTTTATACAGGTGTTCCTTTGAAGGAAAGAGAAAGCTTTGACTTGAAAAACTTCACTGAATTTGTTCGAAACTTAGCAAAAGCCTTGGATGTTTTAGTGGCAGTATTTATAACCTGGAAAATGTCTCAATATGAAGAAGAAAATGAGCTAACATTGCAAAGAATTATGCTAGAAATTCAAAAAGTCTTAATAATCACAGAGAGAATTGAAAAGAGACTTGAAATTATAGATCAAAATACAGAGGAAAGAGTTGAGAATACTTATAAAACAATGATGAAATTTGAGGACAGAGTTAAAAAAAACCACACAGACATATGAAAGTGATAAGAAAATTGCTGACACTAACAGCAAATCAAGAGTGGAGGGAAATGATAAGTGCGAAATACGGAAAGGAGAGATCTGGAACTGGAACTCTATCTCAGATGTCAAAATATAGATGAAGAAATGGAAGAAAATTTGGCAGAAACAATGAGAGTAATTTCGACAGATGCACCAGCGATAACAAAAATCAAGCTGATGAAAGGAACAGATAGAGGGTTTCAAATCTTTAAAATATATGCAATGAATAACAAGTTGTCAAGAGAAGTCCACATAAGACTTATCAAGAAAATACTTAGAATACAGATTCTACAAATGGCAAGAGATATTGAA